TTTGTTGCCAATGATAAAATTCAGATTTTCCACCTAAAATTAGGGTTTTCAGATTTCTTACTGCCATTTTGGGTTCAGCAGTTTCTCAACACTTAAAGAATTTTCTGATGAGATCAGTGGTGATATTAACACATTTTTTTTTTGTGATATTGTAATAATAAAATGTGGTTTCAACATTTGAAAGATCCCTGTGTAACTCAGGGAACCAATGTTTTCAAAATGACAAGAGTGTGATGTTACAAACTCACATGCAGGTAAAAGATCCATTCAGTGTACAAGATCGACCTATGGATTTGAAAGTAACAGAAATGGAAATTTCGTTAATAGGATTTTATATTCCACATTGTAACTAAGCTTTAAGAAACTACCACTTCTAGAATTTTGGTGTAGTATCAAAGAAAAATATCCACAATTATCTGAAAAGGCTACTAAAATATTTGTTTCTTTTTCAGTTACATACCTATGTGGCATTTTCTTCATATTTTCCAAGTAAAACAACATATGACAATAGATTGTGAGCAGAATCAGATATGAGAATCTAGCCATCTTCTGTTAAGCCAGACATTAATAAGATTTGCAAAAAATGTAAAACAGTGCCACTTCTTGCACTAAATTTTTTTTTGTTTTGGAAAATACGGTTATTTTTCATAAAAATTATGTTAACATGTAATGGGCTTTAACGTTTCATTTAAAAATTTTTCTCAGACTTATTTTGTAAATATAAATATTGGTAAATATTTATTAGATACAATCCACATAAACAAAAGATTTTTAGAGTCCACAGTCCACATTTTTAAAAGTGCAAAGGGGGAGGGAGGTTCTGAGACCAGAAGGTTTGACAGGTGTTAAAGATTATGATCTGACCGTGAAGTTAGTTATGTGAACTGGGAGAAGGAATTTTTACTGTTAAATAATTCAATCGCACCTATTATTCATTTTCTGTCTGAAAACTAAGGTGCCAATATAGACCAAAGTTCTTTCCAAATGCTTGTGGAAGAGGCTGAGACAAAAATTTTTAAAAATTCAGTCTTTAAAAAAACCCAAATAGCTTACATTTTCCAGATATGGATGGTTACCTAAAAGGACACCTCTGAGGATGCATTGTATAATTGTATATAATTACAGGTTGAATGACCCTGATCTTAAAATCTGAAATCTGAAATACTTCTGGTCCTAAGCATTTCAGATAAGGGATATTCAACCTGTGTATATAATTGTTATAGTAATCATAATTATAGTCTATTATGCTTTGTATGCATTAACTCTATTTCTTGTTTAAAACCTTGTGTAATAAGTAATATTATTAAGTAATTTGTTATTGGTCTTTAAGAGCCCAGATTGAAGTACTTTATTTTTTGTCTTACTCCAAAGCTCTTACGCTTTTCCCTTCATCATAATGCTGTCATCTATAGCAGCTGTGTATGCAAGCAATAGTTTTCTGTAAACTGTTTACAAGGTCTTGTGGTAAAGGCTCTTTTTGGCAACAAGGCTAGATAAAGACTTGTTTTCAATTTTAGTTTGATGATTAAGGCAAGGAGATTGTCTTCCAGAGTTATAGAGAGAAAGTGCAAAAGTGAATGAAGTAAGCTGAAACAAATTGTTAGACACTGGCTTCCATCAGTAAATTATAGCCTTCCTAATTGATTTGGATAATATGAAAAAATGAATAATTAGCAAGATTTGTATTCTTTTGGCTGATTCTCAATTTAATATCTGTTTACTATTGTGATCATATTTCTAGGCTTCTCCAGTGACAGTGATCTGATATCTCTTACTGTCGATGTGGATTCTCTTGCTGAGTTAGATGATGGAATGGCTTCCAATCAAAATTCTCCCATTAGAACTTTTGGTCTCACTCTTTCTTCGGATTCTTCAGCACTAGGGGCTGTTGCTTCTGACAGTGAACAGAACAAAACAGAAGAAGAACGGGAAAGTCGTAGCCTCTTTCCTGGCAGTTTAAAATCCAAGCTTGGCAAGAGAGATTATTTGGAGAAAGCAGGAGAATTAATAAAGTTGGCTTTAAAAAAGGAAGAAGAAGACGACTATGAAGCTGCTTCTGATTTTTATAGGAAAGGAGTTGATTTACTCCTAGAAGGTGTTCAAGGTACAATTTTATCTATATTAATATATTTTGTTATGTTCTTATGTTGGTATCTGGAAAAAAAAGTATATACATATATCCTCGGTATAGTCTTATATAAAAACAAAACTGAAAATGAGAAAATACTGAAGCTTAAATGACCTATGTATGGAGATATACTTTTAGTTACGTGAGATATTAGACATTATCAGAGGTACTTAACTCTCTACTTTGATCAATTAATTTACAAAAGCAGGATTTAAAAAAAGTCAACAAGTATCTAAGTCTCTTATATGAATAATAATCTTTTTTCTGACTTGATTACATTGTTCACCAGCTTTCACCTCCTTCAAGAGTAATCCACATACGTAACCTAATCATCTGTACCCCCATAACATGCTGAAATAAAAAAAAAAAAAGAGTAATCCACAGAGGTTCTCTAATGTACTTAATTACTCTTTTTAAAAAAATCTTAAATTATTATGGGTACATAATAGTTGTATATCTTTATAG